CCTCGTGAGCGCACACCAGTGGTCACTATTGGATGGCGCTCTAATGCGGATCAGTCACACCTTTGCAAGTGTGCGGCCCTGCATGAGTGGTTCAGCCTTCTGCAGTTCGTGGTCGCCTCCTCAGAACAGCCCCGGCCACCTGCCCTTGTCAGTACTTTGCATCGTTGTGCCCCCGAACTGCGTGAGTCGGAGACGATGTGCACGCTCTGGCTACCGGCTGGAGGTGTGGATCGGGTGCGGCCGTCAGCCATTCATTCGGTGACACCCGATGTTTGGCTTCGCCAAGGGAGTGGCCCTGCATTGAGTGGTTCAGCCTTCTGCAGCTCGTCGTCGTTCCCCCTGCAGAGCAGTCTGCAACCAGCCCCCGTCAGTAAATTGCATCGTTTGGCCCCCGAACTGCGAGAGTCGGATACGATGTGCACGCGCTGGTTTTGGCTGGCGTTGGCTCAGCCTCGTGAGCGCACACCAGTGGTCTTCCTCCACTGGATGGCGCTTCGACGCGGATCAGCTACACCTCAGCTTCAGTGAGCCTTGATGAGTCAGGTCTCTTTCGCCGCACCATCGTTACTCGTGGTGCTGCAGTGTGCCTGTGATTGTCGATCGCTTTGCTCTCTCCCCCTCTCCCCTCCGTGTCCCCCGCCTCCTGGCCTCACCGAATGTGGTTCGGCTGGAGTTTGGCGCCGAAAGTGCGAGTTCTCCGCCCCGTTCCACCGCCGGTCGCCGCGCCTGCGTCCCCACCTGCTGGGATGTTTGGGCCGGTCTCCTGCCGACGCAGCTTGCGTCTTAATGAGGGTTATTTTGTCCCTTGCACGTGCAACCGCCTCCGAGGCCAATTTCCATCGTCACGCGCCCCGGACGTTGTGTTTGCTCCCTGTCATCCGCTTTGGAGCCGCGAACCAAAAAAGTAACTCCACCAGCCCATCCAGAAACGATGCCCAGGCAAGTTGCCCTGATCAGGGATTTGGAGGGGCACGCAGTGGAAGAAAGGGCTGGGGAAGCCGTCATACCAAAGAGGGGGAAGATAGAGGAGGAACCGGCAGAGGGCGGGAAGAGGGGGAGAAGGGAGGAGGAAGTGGGATGATGATGGTGGTGATGATGATGATGATGATGGTGATGATGATGATGATGATGATGATGATGATGATGATGATGATGATGATGATGATGATGATGATGATGATGATGATGATGATGATGATGATGATGATGATGGGATGATGATGAGATGATGATGAGATGAGGAGGAGGAGGAGGCGGAGGAGGAGGAGGAGGAGGAGGAGGAGGAGGAGGAGGGAAGGAGGAGGAGGAGGAGGAGGAGGAGGAGGAGAGGAGGAGGAGGAGGAGGAGGAAGAGGAGGAGGACCAGAGGAGCAGGATGATAAGGAAGACGAGGAGAAGGAGGGTGAGCAGACGCCAGAAGGAGGAGGAGGAGAGGAGGAGGAGAAGGAGGAGGAGGAGCAGGAGCAGGAGCAGGAGCAGGAGCAGGAGCAGGAGGAGGAGAAGGAGGAGGAGAGGAGGGAGGAATACGAATGAGAAAAAGAGAGGAGAGAGGAGGAGGAGGAGGAGGAGGAGGAGGAGAGGAGGAGGAGGAGGAGGAGGAGGAGGAGGTGGAGTGGAGGTGGAGGCGGAGGAGGAGGAGGAGGAGGAGGAGGAGGAGAGCGAGCCTCTTGGAGGCCTCTCGGGGCGTTTTGGGGGTCTTTTGGCGGTCCGCAGGGCCTCTTGGGGCGTTTTGGGTGCCTTTGGGAGGCCTCTTAGGGCCTCTTGGGGGCCAATTGGGGGCCAGTTGGGGGCCTCTGGGGGCCATCCCTCTTATGGGCCTTGGAGGCCTTCTTGGCACCATCTTGGAGGATATCGATTAATATGGAGGGGTCCCTAATGAACGCCCCCCCCTCCTCCCCCTCAGGCTCTCAGGAGCCCCAGAACTCGCCTCTTGGGGCCCTTCTGGGGCTTCCTTGGGCGCTCTTGGGGCCATCTTGGGGCCATGTTGGGCCTCTCTTTGGGCACTCTTGGGACATTTTGGAGCCATCTTGAGGCTTCAGGAACGCATTGGAAGCGAAAGGGCGAGAAGGCCAAACTCCATGATTAGCCATCGATGTTTTGACGAGTTTGCCCTCTTTTGGGAACCTCCTTGGGGACCTCAGTGGCCACTTGTACCCATCTTGGAGCCGAGCCAACTTGGGCCATATGATGCCATGTTTGATGCTATTTGAAAGCATCAGGGGCCACCTTGAAACCCCCATGGGCCAAAAACCTCCCAAAGAAGCCCCCGAGAAGCCAAAACACGCTCATATTAGTTTGTTTTGTTGATGTGCTTTGTTGATCAAAGAGGGGGTGTACTTGATCAGCGCCCCCCCTCTCGAGCCCCAGAAGTCGCCTCTTGGGCCCCCCTGGGGCGCTCTTGGGGCCATCTTGGGCCCCTCTTGGGCCCTCTTGGAGCCATCTTGAGGCCTCGGAAGGCAATCGGAGCGAACGGGCGAGAAGGCTCAAAGTATGGATTGTCCTTAGGTTTTGAAGCATTTTGGCCTCTTGGGGGCAGCGTCCTGGGGAGATTCCGAGGCCACTTGGACCCTTCTTGGACTGGTCTTGGGTGGGAAGCCATCTTGAGCGATCTTGCACTATGTTGGGCCATCTTGGAGGTCAGCTCGGGCTCCCAGAAGCCCTCTTGGAACCATCTTGAGCCCCCAAACCACCCTCTGACACCTCGCGACCACCCCCCCTCCAGGTCCAGGGGGAGGGGGTATGGTGGAGGGGTCCAGCTAGCCTCCTACATAGCAAGCCGCCCAGCTCCCCTTCACCCGCCCTCCCAACACAGAAGCAACGCCCGAGCATCAGCAGGTCGCTTAGGAACGCCACACGTGCCATGCGCGCCACGGGTTACGGGTGCGGCACATGCTCCACGTGCGCCAACTGTGCGTGCTCCAGCCACGCCAGGTGTAGGGACCCCAGGTGCCTGGGGCCCTGGCCCCAAGGAGTTCAGGATCTTCAATCTCCCTGAAGCGATTTGCCGAGCATTCTGTGAGAAGGGCGGCTCCTCCAGGGAGCGCGAAGCACTGGCACCGATGGACAAATCGTGGCACTTTGAGGAGTCGTGAAACAGATGAGAGCTCAGAGAAAAGATGGCCCTGCGCATGCTCCAGATTTGGAGCCAAAGTGTATGTTTGTATCGTTTTTTGACAGGGATGGCTGGCCGGGGCGCAGCAAGCAATCTGCCGGCACCCCCGCCGTCCTTGTCAACAACCAACGCAAAGTGGTCGTGGAGCGCCCGCGCATTCGCCAGATTTGGAGAAGGGGGGTTCATTGGTCCGGGTTGGTTGCTGGTCGCCTGGGGGAGGGGGTGTTTATTAATAGGGAACAGTGATCAAGACACCCTTCCTGCTCGTAAGCCGTCTCGCTTACTCCCACCCGCCCCCCGAACACATATATAGCACCCGAGCCGCAGCGTGTTCAGCGGTAGTCTTTGGATGAACAGCTAATGGGAAACAACACATATTCCATGTGCGCAACTCTGGGGCGAGGTGCGCGGGGCGTGCAAGGCACGCCACGCGCGCCAGGTGCGCCAGGCACCCCTGTGGCCCAAGCGAGCCTGGCACGCCTGGTGCGCCAGATGCGCGGCGTGATCCACGTGCACCATGTGTGCCGCATGCTCCAACCGCGCCAGGTGCGCCACCTTCGGGGCATGCGCAGAGTGTGTCAGGTGCGCCTGCGCTTGGGAAACGTGTCGGCCCCCACGACCCTTGCGGAAAACCAGTGCGCGATCGCAGTGGGGTGGCCATCATAGCGTGTGGTGGGCCTGCACAGAGCAGGCACTATGCCAGCACCCCCGCCGTCCCCGTCAGAAACCCATGCACAGCTATCAAGGGCGCTCGCGCACTATCAAGATTTTGTCTCGAAGTGCATTTTGTACTGTTTTTCGATAGGGATGCTGGCCCTGCGCGCAGCAGGCAATGTGCGGGCACCCGCGCCGCCCCTGTCAAATAACAAGACAAAGTGCCCGCGCCCCCTCCGATCATGACCAAAAATTTTGCCCCAAAGTTGACTTCGCATTGCATTTTGCCAGGGATGGTGGTTGGGGGGACCCTCACTGGTCCTGGTTGGCTGCCGGTCGCCAGGGTGAGGGGGGGGTACTTATGGGGAACAATGAGAAACCGTTCTCCGAGGGGGAAGAAGGGGATTGGAAGAGGAAGCGCTCTAAACCATTTGCGCCGTGGAGGGCTGGTGGGATTCAAATGCGGTGGAGGTTTGCAGCTGGCGTCTTCCCATAGATCACCCGCCCAGCCCAGCGTCCCCACAAGAGCTGCCTCGGCAACCGGCGCCCCGGCGCGGCCCGCAGCGCCCGCGCGCCTCACCTCCGCAGCTGGGAGCATGGATGCTGCTGGCACGGGCGTTCGTCCTCCTCCCGCGTTATTCCTCGCGCTCTTCTTGTTGCTATGATTATGGTTCGTCTTCTTATTCGTCTTCTTCGCTACCTTTTCGTCGTCCTCCTCCTCCTCTTCTTCTTTCCGCGTGCTTCCCCTCCTCCCCCTGCTCCTATTCCCCCCCCGCATCACCTTCCTCTTCTTCCCCTGAGCCCGCTCAGCGGGCGCTTTGGACCGTCGGGCTCAGTCGAGCCTGGCGTCCCCCCCGCTTGCACACATACACGCGTGCTTCCGAGGACAGCTGAAGTACCGAACCCTCTGCTCTCCTTCCTGCCCTTCTCCCCCTCCTCGGGGGTGGGGGGCATGTGAAAGGGGAGGACAGCCCCCCGAGTCCGATCAGCTGTCATCCCCCCAGCTATTCCCGCCCTTCCTTCTCCCCCTCCTCGGGGGGGGAGGGGGGCATGTGAAAGCGGAGGACAACCCGAGTCCGATCAGCTGGCAGCCCCCCACCTATCCCGCCCTTCCTTCTCCCCCTTCTCGGGGGGGGGGGGCATGTGAAAGGGGAGGACCGCCCGCGTCCGATCAGCGGGCAGCCCCCCGGCTGTTCCGCCCCCCATTCCCCGCCCCGCGGGCGCGCCGTGCCCAGGGCGGCTTCCAGAACGGCGGCTTCCAGCAGGTGGCTGGCGGCCCGCCGAGCGCTCTCTCCCTCTCTCTCTCTCTCTTTTTCTCTGTCTTTTTCTCTGTCTTTCTCTCTTTCTCAACGCTGGGGTCAGGCACCTCGTCTTCAGAGGAGTAGGGGGAGTAGGGGGAGGAGGAGGAGGAGGAGGAGGAGGAGGAGGAGGAGGAGGAGGAGGAGGAGGAGGAGGAGGAGGACAAGAGCAAACCCAAGATGCGTCAACGATGCTGGGATACACCCTCCTGTCCCAAGTCGCCTCCTCAGAAGTCCCTACACGTCTTCCGTTCCATGGCGGGAAGCGCCCCCCCTTGAACGGCGAGCGCCCGGTGGGCCAGTCACGAGAAACCGAAACGGGACGGAAGTTCCGTCCCAGTTCCATGTCTCGTGGGCCCATGGGGGCCCGGGGCCCGATGGGGGCAGAGTTTCAAGGAAAGCTCCCAACACGTGCGTGCCTCCCTGGGGGGAAAGTGGGCGTCGTGCTTCGTGGTGTTTTCGCAGCCACCCACCTGCAACTCCTGGCGAAATTCTCGATTGCTTGTGACCCATGCCATCACTCGCCGCGGTGACGTCACTCGGCCAGCGAAGGAAAATTGCTCGTCGTGTTCATCCAGAAAGCCACAAGGAAAACGCCAGGATTGGCCGAGCAATCAAGCCCTCTCGGGGTAGGCCTGGGGCCGCGGCCGCGTGGCGGCGGACGCCATCCCCGACTCTGGCAGCCGGCGCCGCCATCAGCATCTGCCGTCGTCGTTCGCCGCCGTCGCCGCCGCCGATATCATCGCCGTCGCCGTCGTCGTCCTCGGCTCCGCCGTCGCCGCCGTCGTCGCCGCCGTCTCCGTCGTCGTCCTCGGCGCAGTCGTCGCCGCCGTCGCCGTCCTCGTTGCCGTCGCCGTCGCCGCCGTCCTCGGTCTCGCCGTCGTCGCCGTCGTCGCCGTCGCCCCAGGGCGGCGCCTGCTTCCCCCAGCAGTCGCAGGGCGGCTATGGCCCCCAGCAGATGCAGCAGAGCCCACAGGCGCGGCGTCCCGCGGGGCCGGTCGATCTTTGCCCCGTGCCCAGTCGCCGTTTTCCTCCTCCTCTTCCTCCTCCTTTGCATCCTCCTCCCACTCCTTTTCCGACTCCTCCTCCTCCTCCTCCACTTTCCTCCTCCCCCGCCACCCTCCTCCTCGTCTTCCTTCCCGCCATCATTCCTCTTAAATCCTCTTCCGATCACGGCGCGATGGCCAGCAACACGGGGGGGAGGCTGGCCCGCGAGTTCCACACTGGACATATGAGCTTTCATCTCGTTGGTCTGTCTCCTCGTCCTCCTCCTCGTCCTCCTCCTCCTCCTCCTCGTCCTCCTCCTCCTCGTCCTCCTTCTCCCTCCTCCCTCCTCCTCCCTCCTCCTCCTCTTCCTCCTCCTCCTCCTCCTTCTCCTCCTCCTCCTCCTCCTCCTCCTCCTCCTCCTCTACCCGAGTCTGGGGCCACTGCAGATTTTGGAGTTCACGGTTCATCCACGGCCGTTTGCCACATATTGTGAATGTGAGAGTGTCCATTTATAGTCGCCATCTCTCGCAGGACAGCCCGTCGCTTAGTTCCGCTCGCGTGCACGCCGTTTGAGGTAGCTCAGTGGCTTCACATTTGCGTCGCCGATTTTGTCATCGTGCTGCTGTGCCTGCTCCCCCTCCTCCCCTCCAAAATAGCTCGACCCACAAAAAACACGCGGGGGGGTGGGGGTAGGGGAAGGAACGGGGAGGGTAGAGCAGGCTCGAGATGCGAGGAAGTCTGCGGGCGTGTTCCGTCCTTCTGGAGGCCTCCAGGAAGTTGCTTCCGCCAAGGAACGCACCCCAGGAAGGGCCCAGAGGCGCGCATCTTTCTTCCACTCCTCCAGACTAGAAACTAGGCTCTGGCCACGAGTGTTGTCTCGGAGGAGGAGGAGGAGAAGGAGGTGGAGGAGGAGGAGGAGGAAGAGGATGAGGAGGAGGATGAGGAGGAGGAGGAGGAGGGCGACGACGACAACGACGGCAACGACGACAAGGACGCACGAGCGGAGGGACGGAGGAAGATGGGACGGCAACGAACATACGCGAACATGCAGGGAGGAGGAGCACGAAGAGCAGCAGGAGGAGGAGGAGAAGGAGGAGGAGGAGGACACCCGTGGGTTGGGGAGGGCTACATGGTTGGGCGGGAACTGCTGCAGGCACGAAGGGCCACCGCCACAGGAGGGCGCAAACCTCGCATCCCCCAGCGGGGATCCCTGAGTGGCCCCCTGTTGCACCAGTGGGAACCCTTCGCCTGCCGTGGCTGGTGATGGCTCCGCGGCAGCGATTGGGGATTGTACCTCCTGGGATCCCCGATGGAGAACGGAAGAGGCCCTTTCGCCACCCGGCCTCTAGCGAGCGTGGCCCCAGCCACGCCGACCATACTGCCGCCTCGCAGCATCGCTGCCACTGCACCCCTCTGTTCTCTATCCCCTTCGAGGTAAATCTTGATGTAA